AACTAGGCTACTCTATGCTGCCTGCACTGCATTTCTGGAGAATGGAGTGCAATAATAACTACAGTTTTGGCACTTAAGCCTGTATTTCTTATAAACTCATGAAATGAGCTCTTTTAGGTCTGCAATAAGAACCCTTTGGGATAGTGGTAAAGTGATCAGTTGTTAACTGAAAAAAAATGGCAATATGAACATACAAATTTTTGCATAAAGAAAAATAAACAACAACAACGACAACTAGTAATCTGCATAAAGTTTACAACCTAGGAAACCAATAAATGTAATTTCTATTTTATAAAGTTGGTATGAGTTTAAAATCAAATTGATGGCACACAACAGCAGATGTTTCATTAGAGATTATAGGAAGAGTATGATGTTTTAGTCTCAAAAAGTAGCTTCTACACTCACTAGTTTATTGAGTATGAGTTAATTGAGCTTATTTTGTCACCTAAGTATCCATGGGAGTTCTGTTGGTAAAGTCTATAGGGCGGTGTACAGCTAACCCAAAGGTGGCATCTCTCTGGTGGGTTGAATCTATCAGCAATTCTGAATAAGAAAGATGGACAGTCTCCTCTTGTGTGAGTTAACACCTCACAAAACCCACTAAATGGTCAACTAGGTTTCAGTTCCTACTTGACAGCATTTAGCATGACCTGACGTGTCTATAATAAATAACTAACACATATCATGAAGATCAAATGAATAAAACCACACAATAAAAAGCTTGAAATCTATCGGATTATCAAAATGATGATTGACTTCACAAATATCACTTTTTAATTAAAGTCCTTACCTAAATAATTTTGCCAGTGGTGCTCAATTGTAGTTCACTGTAAGAATCATCCAGGCTCCTTAAAGTATGACCATTACTATTTCAGTTTTAACGTTTTGCATTCTACTTTTGACATTTATTTTAATTTTTTTAAATTTTATACTGGTTCAGAAAGTTCCTATACATTGTTTCTCACATTTCTTAATACTTAACACAATAGCTGTGAAAATTACCACAGGAAACTACATAAAACCAAATAAAAATAACATATTTTAAGTATATCCATAAAGAAAGGATACTGCTACAAAATATTTATTGTTTTATCAAAAACAGACTTTTTAACACCACAGGTAGATACCAGACAACTGTAGGTTCAGAAAATTTAATAACTTTAGGATAAAATTGTGTAGCAAAAAATTAATCATCATGAATAAGGGTGAAGTAAAAAAATTTCAATGTAATGAAATTCCAAAGATATGAATGTTTATATTTTAGTACAATGATATTGCCAATTTTAAAAAAAGATGTTGATGTTTAAATACTTGAGAAACAAGCGCATATATTCAAGAAGAAATTTGTTGTTGTTGTTATGATTGTTGTTGTTAGGAGCCTTAGAATTGAGTATGACTCATAGTGATCCTATGAACAAAAGATCTGATTAATACAAACTAGGAAAGGATTGGCCTTCCTCTTCTGAAATAATAGGCCTTGGAAAACCCTATAAACAATAGAGCACACTTAGACTATTAGATATATACCACTGGAGTCTGAGCCTTCATATTGGAAAACACACAAAAAAATTAGGAGGAATAGGTCCAAACAGCCGCTAATAATTAGACCATGGAATGTATGAAATATGAATGTCATAAAATTGGACATGGTTAAAAGTTAAATGGAACACATAAATACTGGCATATGGTTCAAATCTACTAGTTAGGAGAAGGATGGGCACTCTGCTCCTTTGGGATTAACTGACTCTGAAAATCCCATGGAGATCTGGGTCAGTTCCAACTCGATGGTGCACAACACAATCACAACAAGCATTAGTGAGTTGAGATGGATTAGCATTGGCCCCTTTTAATAAAACGGTCATGTGATCTACTGTACCAGGTGTAGTAGTAAGGGTTTATTGTTCAAAACAGCTTTCCTAGCCAGTGAGTTTGACCTATGTGGATGAACAGGAATATGTGAATAAGATGTGTTAGCCTATGCACAAGGGGAGTGGCTAATTTCACCAACCCATAAGGGGATTTACTAGACTTTCCATTAAATTGAGCAAATCCAGCAGCACAGTTTGAGAATCTGACCACCAACAAAGAAGAAGCATGTTCTTAAGGGCCAGAGAGTCTCATATCAGTCAGTCTAGGTCCTAAAGGAGTAGTAGTCATAGCAACCTCAATGGAGAACCAGAGACTTGATAAGAGATGGAGCAGACCTTGGGACTGCTATGCCATTCAACCAGAACTAAGAGTCTTTTGCCTAAATTTGTTGGAGGAGGATAACTATAATTGTCAGGACTGAGAGATTTATAGTACTGCCCTGAAGGTGAAAGAAAGCCTCAAGTAAAGAGTTGAACAGAAGATTTCAAAGGTGAACTAGTGATGACAAAGCAAAATATTATAATGAAATGTTCCTTGGCATTTCTCTAGGTGAAGGAACTGAAGAACAAACTCAAGGATTTTATAGGTAAAATCTTGAATGACCCAGGAAGCATGAAAGGAAGATTTAAGGAATACATGGAAAAACTGTAGCAAAAAGAATTGACAAACATAGAACCATTTAAGGAAGTACTGTATAATCAAGAACCAGTGGTAATAAAAGGAAAAGCTCAAGCTGCTCTGAAGGAATTGGCAAAACATAAGGCTTCAGGAATTGATAGAATACCAATTGACATATTTCAACAAACTGATGCAGCCCTGAATGTGCTCACAAGATTGTATCAATAAATCTGTAGGACAGCTATCTAGTTAACTGACTGAAAGAGACCCACATTTATTTCCATCCCCCAAAAGTGATCCAACAGAATGTGGAAATTATCAAACAATATCACTAATATCATATGCAAGCAATATTTTGCTAGAGATTACTTTTTAAAGCAGCTAGACGAGTACATTAGCAGACAACTGCCAGATTCAAGTTGGGGTTAGAAGTGGTCATGACACTAGGGTTTTCATTGCTGATGTCAGATGGATTCTTGGCTGAAAGCAAAGAAGACAGATTCTAACAGATTCTTGAAAAATATTTTTCATTTCTAAAGCCTCTGAAGTAAATCTCCTTTGTTGATTATATGCAAAAAAGCTTTATATTACTGATTTAACTTATTTATTTTATTTCGTTTCATCAAGTGCCTCCTTTACTATCTAAATGACTAAGATTTTTCTGTGGGTAGGGAATTAGTCTAACACATATCTTATATGTAGATATATAGAACTATAAACTATGTATTATTGAAGACACAAGTGAAAAATTATTAAATAAGACACATCCTTTAAGCTGTATCATTGAATATGTGCATTTTCACAACAGACGGTCAGGGAAGGCACTTTTGCCTGCAGTTACTAAATGATATTTTGCAGGAAGCTTGGACAAATCTAATATTTTATATTTTAATAAATTAAATATTTTAGGTATTTTAGGGTTATTTTTAAATATATATATAGTATTATGGAAGATCCAGAAAGAGAATTCTATATGCAGTTCTGTCTTAAGAGTCACCTGAATATATATTCATTCACAGCTTCTATTGTTGTTAGTTCTAACCCATTGTGATCTTATATGTGTTGCTGTGGTTGTGTAACATTGAGCCAGAACCAGTGAATAGCTGATGCTACAACGTGTTTTCAGAGGCAGTTAATTCCAAGGTAGGAAACTGCCCATTCTTTTCCCTTGGAGTAGCTGATGGCCTCCAACCACGTGCCTTTGGGATTGCAGTGCAACTTTTTTACTACAGGCCACCAGAGCCCCTTGATCTTATATATACAGAATAAAATTCTACCCTTTGCTGCAGTTATGATCATTTGTTTCTATTGTTGTAGCTATTAAAAGTTCACAGAAGTCTTATAAGAAATATGTTTAAAATGATGTGTTTTTCTTCTCATGATTTTGCAAATGCATTTTTAATTTAACAAATTTCTACTTATTATACCAATGATGTCAAGCAGAACTAGAAAACATGGAGTGGCCCTACATGGATTTAGAAGCCCATTTGCAAACAAGCACATGTGCAACAGAAAAAAAAATACACAAAAGCAATTGAATAATGCTTAAATTGGAACATCATTGATAATTTCAATATCATAGTGTAACCCCGCTACGGTATAGCAGAAAAAAAAAATGAGAGACTGAATGTTTTCTTGAGAAAGGTTTCTGAAAGTCAGAATACATAAATACAATTCCATCAAATATACAAATAAAGACATCTTTATCGCTAGAAAGACCATTCTAAACAAAGGAGCAAACAAAAAAACTTCATAAAATTGGTTGTTGTTGTGTTGAAATTGCCTCTTACCTGACCCCAGCGTGTAAATTGCAGGGGAGGAGATTGTCCATCTTTCTCTTGGAGTCACTGGTGAATTAAACCACTAGAGAAGTGTTCCCTTTAGGTAGCATTGCAACTCCCACTGCATATTTACTAAATTAGCAAGTTAATATGATCATAAGATTGATCCACGTGGAAAATACAAAACTTTCTCATGTGATTATCATGATTTCAGAGTAGCTATGAATTTAGATATTAACATAATAAAGTAAAGATTGATTTTGTTTTTAAATAAGAAATCCAGGAGTATTGAAGATGGTGCAATGTTTATTTCATGACCAGTACTTGTCAAGGTGACCTACTTTTTTTAAGTGCAATATGTACTTACTTTATAGGGCTTTTCCTATTGCTTTGTTTCACTTTGTTTTGGTTTAAACTAAACCAGTTATAGAATATGATGTGTTCAGTCACAAGAGAGACAATTTAAACGTTGATTTTATTTTTTACATGAGATTTATATTAATACTATACAATGAGAAAGTATTAAACACTTCCATTCCAGCTATTGATATATGTTTTACTTTGTAGTCCTCAGTTTGCGAAAACAGTTTCAGAGCCTAAAAATTTGGCATTGCACACTTTCTTCTGAGACAGTCCGAGTTGTCTTCCAAATGCTTTCCTTCCATTTGAAAATGGAGAGTCAGTACTACTGTATTATTGTATTTTACATTTTATAAATTCAAAAGTTATGTTTCATTTCTTTGAAAATATTTTCAATACCCGTTCTCTAATCTGTTTAGTTCTAACACCATAAATTACAGGGTTGAGAGCAGGCGGAATGACCACATAAAAATTGGCAAGAAGGATATGTATGTAACGTGGTATATTTTTGCCAAACCTATGGGTCATAAACGAAAAAAATGCAGGTGTGTAAAAAGCCAGCATGACACACACATGAGAACCACAGGTGCTGAGTGCTTTGAGCCGGGCATCCTGGGAAGGCAATCGAAAAACAGCAAGAAGGATCTGGACATAGGATATGACAATGGCTATGATGTCAAACACCAAGACAGAAACGGCACATAAACCATAGATGATGTTGATCTTGATGCTGGCACAGGACAGGCGGGCAATGCCCATGTGCTCACAGTAAGTATGAGGGATAATTTGGTGTCCACAGAATGGCAACCTAAGGATGAGCACTACAAAGGGAACTGCAATGGCCAAGGGCCTCAGGAGGATGATCAAAGCTAAGATTGATACTACCTTGTTTGTAAGCACCAATGTGTAGCGGAGAGGGTTGCAGATGGCCACGTAGCGATCATAAGCCATGGCCACAAGGACAGCTGATTCCATGCCAGTGTACAGGTGGATGAAAAACATCTGAATGAGGCAGCCTTCAAATACTATTTCTCTTAGGTTGAACCAGAAGATGCCAAGCATCTTGGGGATGGTGGATGTCGATAGTCCCAGATCAATAGATGACAGAATGGCTAAGAAGTAGAACATGGGCTGATGGAGGCTACTCTCAGTCTGAATCACGAAGAGTATGCAGATATTTCCAATGACAGCAGTCAGGTACACAGCACAGAAAGGGAAGCCAATCCATACGTGTACATTTTCTAGGCCAGGTACACCCATTAGGTAGAAAGAATAGGGATGAAATAAAGTAATATTAAATGGGGCCATTCTTTTGAGATTTTGTTTTTATCTCAAAGTGTTTTTTATCTCAAAAGCATAGACCAAGTATTCTCATCAATTCGGAAGCCTTTGTTTAGGGAATAATATTAAAGAAAGAAATTAGTGAAAAGTCAACCACATTCTACCTATATCATTTTAGAAGACTGAAAGTACATAAAATTTCCTTATAATATGAAAATATTTTCAAACATGTCATTTTATCAATTCTATTTAGTTTGACACTTTAATTCAACAAATATTGATGATCTACACATATGTGCCCATTTCTGTGTCAAGACTGATATAAGAGATCACTCAGAGTATGTTTACTTTACCGAGTATGGAAGCTAAAGTTCTGTGGCTGGAGTAGTTGTAGAAATCAGTGATTTCAATTAATGGGAGAATATATCATACTGAATCATTATCCAGCCACTTTACGTATAAAGTTATATGCTTAAATACATATTGTTATTAATATCAAGGATTTATGACTACATACTTTATGGACGAATATTTAGAACAGAGAGTAAACACGTTGACAGTCAATCTAATTCTATATAAGCCACATATCTGAACTAAATGTATACAATGAAATTGTCCAGGAAACTAGAAATTAAGCAAGTGAGACTTTTCTGGGATGATTTTACATCAACATATACCCACTCTATTCATACCATAATTATTATCTGATAGTGGTTTTCCTATCACTTTTTTCTTGCTGAAGCAGATACCAGTTATTTACTCTGTCTTATCAAGGAAGGTTCATTGAACTTCACCTCAGGATGATCCTCTGGTTACAACTCTGCAGATAATGGATTGTTCTCATTTTTTTATTTCTGCCTTGATAATAGGCAAATAGAACCTTCTCATTTTTAAAGTGTCCTCCTGCTGATGTCCAAGGAAACAAAGAAAAAGTTACACATCTGTACAAACATTAATGTCCAAGTTTATCGAAGAACAGAAAATGGTCATATGTTATTGTTGGATGCCATCAAGTATATTAAGGCTCATAGCCTCCCTAGGAACAGATCTGAACTTTGCCCTATCCTGTACCATCCATATCATCACTGATATGCTCAAAACCATCGTTACAGATATATGTCAATCCATCTTTTGAGGGGCTTTCAGATAGTGAATTAATTTAAACATCTCACTCTTCAACTCTCAATCTATACTGTAATTTGCTAAGCATCTTAAACATACTTTAATAAGAGTGTGGGACAGATAGATATTATTACAAAACATCTATATGTCTTGGCACTAAGAAGTATATGTTAGAAAGACTAACTACAAAATTTAAGAGAATTGCCAAACAGCACAGGGACTACAACATACAAAATTAGCTCCCTATCTTCTAAAATGCCTAACAGAACTAGAAGGATTTGCACAAAAGGCCTCAAGTGAGCTTGCTACTATTATTAGGCAAAGACAAAGAGTTAAATTGAGATAATAGAAGCATAATTCTGAAAACAATGAAGACAATTTCTTGCTATAAGCAAAAAAGAACACATATAAGGGAGATGGCATTTTAATTGGGGAATGTGGAGAAAAATTTAAGCGGGAATGTTGTCACTGGATTTCTTCTCTATGACTTAAGTTTATTTAACAGAGGTTGAAGGAGGGTGGGAAAACCCCAATAACTAGCTGCTGTTGAATTAACTTGGATACATAATGACCCTACCTTGTCAGAGGAGAAGTGCATTCCACAGAGTTCCCATGACTGAATTTTTAGTGTGATGGCTTTGTGGGGTTTTCCCTCAAAAGTTTTCACTCTAGAGAGTATGGTTACATTTCCAAAAAGCTGCCTGCCTAACCTAATAAAACTCAGAATGTTGGCTTGGCTTTGGTATCATAGATTATTATCTTTACTTCAAAGTCACTTCTGTGTGACTTACATATGTTGCTTAGAAGCCAACATAGTAGGGAATCAGGCCATGTAGAGACCACATCTTTAGAATCAAACACTTGGAATTGGGAACAAATGATGTTATTCATAGGTCATAAATCTCAAGTCCTTCACCTATGAAACACAACTAAAATACCCATATTGCAAGATCATTTTAAAGTATACTGGGCTTGAGACAGATCATTACAAAATGACGATAACCATAACAAGTTGAAGTATTGCTTACAATCTCTCTCTCATTACTGCAAAATTGGAATACACTCATAGATGGCTTTCTAATGATGAGATTGTCCAATTTTGTGCTATTAGTTGCTGATATATTTGAACCACCAGAGAAGTGCAGTCTTTGAGTTAGCAGTGCAACTCCCTTAATGTTATATTGGACCATCAGAGTTCCTTGGTGCTTAGAGAGACTGAGTAAGATGGGTTCAATAATGTATACTGCACTGAAACAGAGGAGGGAGAAAACTGTTTAAAAGAGATATATAACTAGGTATTTCTGTCATCACAGGAGACTAGAGCGAGGGCTACATGGTGGAGGGGACCTGGGGGAGGGTTTGTAAAACAATGAAAGAATCTTTTACTTTTCCATAATTTTTGGACTCATATACTTATAACTTGTTAGTCAAATTTGTGTCTTCTAGGTTGCAACACCCCCATGATACATCTTCAAGGATATGAACATGTACGGCCAAGCACAATCAATAAGAGTGCATCTAAATTCCAAAATCAATCCCCATAATAGTCTATGTGTTTCCTACTGCCAAAGGGGCCCTTTAGAGTAGTGAGAGAAGATCTTCACCATGAAACCCACAGCGTCCCTTTTCAGCAGGAAGTAGCTAAGAGAATACGCCATCCCCTTTTCCTTATGACTCAGGGTGAAGTCTCTCTCAGGGAGGAGTGATAGGGAATGGCAAAGGACACACCGACAAAGAAGATTAATCAGAACTGGCTTTGACAAGCACTGTGGCATTTGGACAAGAACAAACTGGGAGGAGGGTAGAGAGAATAGTGCAACAATGAATGAATGGAAACCCAAAATCTCTGTAAATGTTTATGAAAATTAATAAAATATAGAAAAAAATATAAAAAAAGAAATAATATGGTAAAATAATAACTTTCTGTACAATCCTTAAAACATTTATAATCCCTAGCTACCCCTTATTTTTATAAAAAATAGAGTATGTTGCAGTAAGTTTATAAAACTTTTTTAAAAAAGAATCTTATCTTTAGACATTTTCACAGACATTGGCATAAACTTTGGGTAATGGCACCATTCCAAAATTATTAGAAATGTCTTCTGGTTGAGGAACCATAGTCAATAGTTTGCTCATATTTTGCTAGATTGTTATGAATAAAGAGTATGTCATGGATAATTTAAGATAAATTCTGCCAGAGGCTCAGGTTGGGAATCACTTATTCAATTTCAATTTTTTAAAAAAGAATACAATTAAGAGATAAAGGATAACAAATGGGGAACACTAACAACATGTGAGTACTATTATCTAGGTCAGAGATCTAGAATGCAGATGAGGGCAATTTACATTTGCAGAACACAGAGGGTTTTCCTTTTTCTTTTTCATGGTTTTTAACTGTGTAAGAATGAAGACAGGCAGTAAAAGATTTGCAAAGTTTATAAAAAGATTACGTCAACACATTGACATCCAGCTCTCTTTTTCTTCTCTGGCAACAGTTTTCTACCTCCACTTCTCTTGTCACCTAACACTGTCTTCCTTGTGTTCAGTTGGCTACAGATAAGAAAGCATGCTCCTAGAGCTTTATGCTGAGTGAACTAATGCAATCTCATAGGGACAAATACTGCCTATGACCATTAAAAGTAGAAGGAACTAGTAAGACATGTATGGAACTCAAGGTTGAGAGGGAGCGGAGGGGTGAGGACAGGTAGGGATGAAACCACAGGGCTGCACATTTGAGGGGAAGCAAATGAGAAGGATCTGGGTGAAAAGACAAGGTCATGATGGGCAAGGTCCAATGGTGATTAATTTTATAAAGCACAATGCATGAGAATCATTGTGTGAAACACAATGTGAATGAAGAATAGTGTGCAAAACAAGGTATACAAACCTTTTAAGCATACCATTTTTTTTAAGAAGAAATCATGCTTCTATAACCTGACTTACCAGCCAGCACACCCAGAAGATAGCAAGTTTCCCCCTGCTTTCTTCTGTATTCTATTTGTTTAAGCAGCTGGCTCTTAGAGTACTGTAGCCACAGTCTCTAGAGGGAAACCTGCATGGACTGGAACTCCCTCTGGGTAGTTGGAGGTGACAAAACTCTGAGATTTAAAATCTCACCTTTTCCGGTGAGATTAAATAGCAACAGAAATAGACAGTCCATGTCCTGATAATGCATTCAGAAATCAAAACTGATAACATATCCCTTAGATGAGCATATTTCCAAGGTGGGGGAAAAAAAACTAAAACCAAACAATCCTTTTTTGCCTTTAAAAGTTACAGAAGCTTTAATTTTTTTCCTCCATTAGGTCATTTCCATAAATTGGGTCTAAGTTCATTATCTTGTCCACCTGATAGTGGTAAAACTGATCATAATATTGCATCATGATGACTTAATATTTGACATGAATGAATAAAAACCCAATCTTTCTATAAACTTTCATTAAATTCACAAAATAATTTTTTTAAATTACATGATTCCACTATCCTGATTATGACAAACTATTGGGGTTTGTTCCTCAGAGGGAAAGTTCTTCAGGGTTTTGTTTGATGACAGTCTGAAAAACCAACTCAGAGACAGAATAAATGATATTGCTGCTGCTTGTAGATGCTCTCAAGTTGACCAGGAACCATAGAAACCCTATGAACTGTGAACCCTATAAACTTACCTTCTCAGATAAGTGGGAGCCCATCACTAATCACTGTGTCAACCCATCTTTTTGTGGGTCTTTCACTATTTCTCTGAGCCTCCCTCCCCAAGAAATAGCCTCTTTTAACATGAACAAATTATGTGCGATGCTAGTGAATTCAACACAGATCACAGACATAGTTTAGACTCCCAAGTTACAGCAGCAAAGTGTTACTGTACCTAAATGCCTGGTGTTGGTTTCTCTTGTCTAACTAAAGAT